AAAAAAAAAAAAAAAAAGAAGAAAAAGTGAAAAGCAATGAGGCTCACAAAGTTTTAAATCAAGAATGCATCAGATCATAGAGATGCAGTCAAATTTTGAAAGAAATGTTTACAAGGAAGCACAGCTTACCTGAATTCATGTATGGATCTTATAAAAATCAAAAGGTGTCCATGGCTTTTGAGATGATTGTTGTGCTTGGCACTTTGGCTTTTCAGCAAGGTGTCACCAACATCACATATGGTTTTAGAGCCTGATTGCTTGCAGGTTAATTTGAAGAACTAGAGGCCTGCAAAATGATGCAGACTTTATACACAACATATATTATCTACACATCAGATAAATAAATCATACATAATGAGATAATTGACATTTCACAGACCTGCATGCATTCACAATACTTGTTTGAGCAACTTCATTTTTTAAAATTGTATCCTTTTTTATGCTTGGATCTGAATCTTATTTTCACCCTGCATAAGCAAATACAAAACATTAAGAGAAGGTAAAAATGATTGGAAGGACCAAATTTACAAATGTTGAAAAAATCAGCAACAACCTTCCCCATGGTTAAGTTGGTAGAAGAAAGAAGTGATACACAAGTAGAATAAGACTAATGAGTTCAGTGGTAAACTTTGATGCTACTCTATGCCAATTGCATAATAGGTTTTAATTTGGCAAATAAAGTCCAACCTCACAATCAGCATTGAAGTCTGTGGCCTGGGTTGGGCTACCAAGCCATGATGCCAGCCTTTAATTTTCGAATCTAGGTTTTAATTTGGCGAATAAAGTCCAACCTCTCAATCTTTCTGCTCATTATCATCAACCTGCTGCACACTGTCATCATCTTGCTGCTCATTATCATCAACCTGCTACCCACTGTCATCATCTTGCTGCTCATTATCATCAACCTGCTGCACACTATCATCATCTTGCTGCTCATTATCATCAAACTACTGCTCACTATCATCATCTTGCTGCACACTATCATCAAACTGCTGCTCACTATCATCATCAACCTGCTGCTCACTATCATCATCCTAATGCAGCAAACTAGGAATTTAGAATGGTAGTAGAGCATTTGAATGGAGAAATTATTATTACAACATTTTAAAACTTGAAATTACATATACTGAAAGGGGAAATAAATTATCAACTTAATTTGCTTTTGAATTGTAGGTAACAATGGTAATAGATAATAAATTTGGTTTTAGTTGCTAAGTACCATAAATAAATAGAAAAAATAAAAAAGATTTAGCAGTAGTACCTAAAAGATTGAAAGAAGGTAAATGCATAATTGAAATCAATCAAGAAGACAAGGGAATTAAAGAAAAAAGATTTACTATTATATATAGTTAAAGGCTGAAGATACCTCAATGGGAGCTCCTTCGCGTTGGATCCATCCGTAGTCTATTTTGATGTTTCGAATGTGAGAGATGCAGTCCCACTCGGCTCCACTTCCTCTGGTGCATGTTTCCTTTAACTTAGGGCATTCAACAATATGAAGGCTTTCTAATTTGGAGAGGCGTTGGATGGCTTCCATATGTTTCAAAGATTCGCAGTAGCCAATCAAAGTCAGTTCTTTAAGATGAGATCCGATGAAGCCCAGATATGGAAATTCCTTGAGCTCTGTTGAGAAACCACCAATAGTCACCTCCTTCAGGCGAGCAAGGCAGGCAAGGTTAGGGGTGCTCAAATCATCTGGAATAGAGATTAGATTATGACAGTAGGAGATATCCAATTCCTCAAGAGCAGTGCATGATGGCAACCCACTTGGCAAACTTCTTAATCCACAACCCCTTATCACTAAAGTCTGAAGAGATGAAAGTGCATGGAGGTTCGGAAAGGACATCAAATCTTCGCACCACCATATAAACAACTTTTTGAGACACGTGGCAGTAGATAAATCCTCTCCTATGCTTTTCAATTTCCTACAGAAGGATATTTCAATTTTTTGAAGAGAGGACAGCCCATGGAGGTTTGGAAAGGACATCAAAACATTGCACCCCTCTACAGTCAACTCTTTGAGACATGTGGCAGTAGATAAATCCTCTCCTATGCTTTCCAATTGCCAACAATCGGCTATTTTAATTTTTTGAAGAGAGGACAGCCCATGGAGGTTCGGAGAGGACAGCCCATAGAGGTTCGGACAGTACATCAAACCATGGCACCCCTCTACAGTCAACTCTTTGAGACATGTGGCTGTAGATAAATCCTCTCCTATGCTTTCCAATTGCTCACACCAGCCTATTTCAATTTTTTGAAGAGAGGACAGCCCATGGAGGTTCGGAAAGGACATCAAACCATCGCAGCAGGTTACAGTCAACTCTTTGAGACACGTGGCAGTAGATAAATCCTCTCCTATGCTTTTCAATTGCCCACAGTTGTATATATAAATTTTTTGAAGAGAGGACAGCCCATGGAGGTTCGGAAAGGACATCAAACCATTGCAGCAGCTTACAGTCAACTCTTTGAGACACGTGGCAGTAGATAAATCCTTTCCTATGCTTTTCAATTGCCCACAGTCGTATATATCAATTTTTTGAAGAGAGGACAGCCCATGGAGGCTCGGAAAGGACATCAAACCATAGCACTTCCTTATAGTCAACTCTTTGAGACACGTGGCAGTAGATAAATCCTCTCCTATGCTTTTCAATTGCTTACGCCTGCTTATTTCAATTTTTTGAAGAGAGGACAACCCATATACACTGGACATGGCAACTGGTGCAACCTCTACCTGAACTAGTTCTTCATAGTTCTCAATGATGAGTTTCTGAAGGGACGAATATGCAATCCTTTCCAAATTCTTGCAATTTTTAATTTCTAACTCTGCCTCATTGCTAAGTGAAAGTGATGGAATGCTTTCCAACCAAGGACATTCATAAAAGGTCATGAACATCAGATTTTTGAGAAAATTTTTTGTTTCTAACATCCATGAAGGACAGCTTTTACCACAGTAGCGTTCAATAGTTAGGCCTTTCAAATTTGAATGAGGTTGGAGGTCTTCCAAGATATCTTCATCATGTTTGCATCTATCTTCACTGCCACTGGATTCCTCACTCGACGGTGATTGCCGGTCTTCAATTGTACGCTTTTTACCAAACACCAATTGCAACTCTTGAATTGTAGCCTTTTTAGAAAGTCTTGCTCCCATGGCTTCTTTTTTGTCTCTAACCATATCCAAATTGCAAATCTCTAATTTTCCCCTGAGTTGGCTTAAACATCCCAATTCTTCAATTTGAAATCCCTTCTGTTGGCTCACAACAAATAATTGTAATGTTTTCAAACAAGTCAATCTACCAATCCCAGCTGGCATAAGGTTTTCATCATTGAAATAAATGTGTCTCAAATTGACTAAATCCCATATTCCTTTCAAAGGCCTCTTGATTTTCGGACAATTCATAAATCTAAATGTCTGCAAATGATAGAGCTTAGTGATGAATTTGGGAATTGATTTTAGTTTCTGAAACATCCAAAAACCTTAAATGCTTCATTTTCCCCAAAAAAGCTGGCAACTCATCAATATTAGCACCACAGAAACTGAGAACTCGCACCTTTATAAAGTTTTCAAGCTTGCTTTGAGAAACATCAACTCGTGAAAACAAGGTACGCAGTTCCCCAATTTCCATTTTTGGCATACCCTCCTCAAAAATGAGATTCAAATGCCGAATGTCTCTAGGAATATCACTACTACTACCATCCTCCAAATGCTGAATGTCTGCAGGAGTATCACTACTACTACTACGATCCCAAATCAATGTTTGAGACTCTGAAACAGATTGTGCTAGATCATGTATTAAATCATGCATTTTGCAAGAAATAATATTGCCATAAGAGTCTTTTACTGCATCTTGAAATAAGGAGTATGAGAACAAGTCATTGAAATACTTGCCACCAATATCTTCCATCTCCTTGTAGCTTTTTCTAATTAGTTGAAGATATCCTGCAAGAAATAATACTGCTATAAGAGTCTTTTACTGCATCTTGAAATAAGGAGTATAAGAAAAAGTCATTGAAATACTTGCCATCAATATCTTCCATCTTCTTGTAGCTTTTTCTAGACGGTTGAAGATATCCTTCACCCATCCAGAGCTGGATTAACATCTCCTTTTCCATGACAAAGTCTTTGGGGAAAATAGAGCAAAAAGCAAAACATTGTTTTAAAGCAGGTATTGGCAACCGATCAAAACTCAATTGTAATATAGGGAACACTTCATTAGCCTCTTCTATTGAATGCCATGCTTCATTACTATCTCTAATAGATTTCCAATCATCTAAGTTCGTATTATTGCGCAAAGTCCCCCCTATAATATTTGCAACTAATGCCACACCTTTACATTTCTCAGCAATTTTCTCTCCAATGGTCTCCAATTCCGAAGAAATAGAAGAGTTGCCAAATGCTCTAAGCTTGATAATAGACCAACAATCCTCCTTTTCTAGCTTGGCAAGACTATGCATGTTCTTGGTTCCCATTATGGAAGCTACTTTCTCATTTCTAGTTGTGACAAGAACCCTACTCCCACCCTTTTTGCCTATTCCCAACAAACATTTTCGTAACTTCTCCCATTCTGGCTTTTCTTCATTCCATACATCATCTAGAATGAGGAGATAGTTTTTCTCCTCAATCTTTTCAGAAGAGTTTCTCTGCACAAACTTTTCTTTAAGTTTTTGAACTACAGCGTCTTTATCTTTAAAATCCACATGATCGGCCTCATTAGTGATGAGAGATTTCAGCATCGTTGCTAATATTTGTTTGTCATCAAAATTTTCAGTAACACAAACCCACATTTTTTGGTAAAATTGTTTCTCTATCAACTCATTGTTGTACACTAGTTTTGCCAAAGTAGTTTTGCCTATGCCTCCCATACCAACTATGGATACAACAGGGAGATCAACACCATTACTTGAATCAATCAACGACTGAACTACTTCTAGGACTTTATTTTTTCTTCCTACAATCTCCAATGGATCATCAAGTGAGGAATTTGTTTGTTGGAATTCTACATGTTCAGGAAGCTTGTTTGCAAGTCTATGTTGAAGCCCTAGTCCAGTGGCCCAATCATTAAGGCTAGCTAGATCTAAATTCAAATCCTTAATCCTCTTAGCTATCTTAAGGCGAAAAGCTAAAGGATTAGAAAGAGTAAAGAAACAGCTGACCTTTTTCCACATTTGTTTTTGAGCCACCTTGTACCTTAGATGTTCATATGCAATCTCATCTACCACATTGTCAGCTTCATCAACTATATTTCCCAGTTCCTGAAGCCAAGGTTGCAGATCAGAGTGACCCGTCACCTTCTTCTCCTCAGCATCTTGCAGCACGCCCCTTACCATGCTCAGCACCACACGGAACTTCTTGAGCTCCTGCTTGAATCCCACTGCTAAGTTGAGTTGCTCGGTGGTAACTGAAATCACCTTGGATATTGTGACATCCACAAGAGGACCAAGAATAA